CAGGAATAGAATCCATGCTGGATCCAGGAATTAGAAGAGGGCTCAGGCATGCAGCCTACCAGCCACAACTCATAACAGTGCATTAGTGAAAACGGCATACAAGAATGTATTGTGTATACTAAAAAGTGTTGGCAAAATATGTATATCAGGCAAGAATTGCACACAAATACATTAGGATAAATTTGCTGATGAATTTTCAAGAGGATGCTTCATTTTTTAAAATGCCAGCTGATGTGGAAATGTGGAGAAGTGAATTTTAAGATTGGAAAAAAAGAGAAACAGAGAGAAACCAGAAGTGACAGATTTGCCTATCCCTAAATCCTACACACATTTATCTTGGAGTGAGCCCCATTTAACACTTAGTACGATATCCTTCCGTGAAGCATCTGTAGGATCAAGCTATTAGTTGATGACATAGTTGCCACTTCCCCTAAGACAGGTCCTACAGTTATACCAAGCCAGACCATTGTTTCAACCTGCTCAATATTTGCTACACTGAAGTCATTCCCAGTCCTACCTGGAGATGCCAGATTGAATTTGGGACCTTTTGCATACAAAACCACAGCCCTTCCTGACTGTATGATGCACGGCATTTCAATAGACTCAACTTTCAAGCAGAAAGGTAGAGAGATGGGATTCTGCACCTGCTGAATTTCAAGTTTGCCAAAAATGTCTACTATATGTCTAATTACCAAGGATGTAATAATGGTTATCTGTGCAGGCCCTTTGTGTATAGACTGCTTCACTTGCCCTTTGTTCTGTTATGAAAGCAAGATTCCAACTTCACCATCTCCCAGAGGAAATTTTGGTTCTTGTTCTTACAATGCTTGTCTTTATAAGCTTTGTGGATAGAATCCAGGAGTAGGATGGTTGTACATTGTTGTAATTAAGCAGCCTTGCAAGGAGGGACATTGTTGGGTGGTAGGCTGGAATTTCTGGAAATAAACTTAAGAAAGAAAAGAAGCTGAGACAAAAAAACAAACCTGAGGTTTCTAACCTTACAAAAACATGACTTTATTTTTTGGTACTGCCTGAGTAACAGAAAGAAAAAAAGAAAGGGAGGAAAGAAGGGAGGAAGCAAGTGCTCTAAGACTTAAGCTTGCCTGAAGGCAATATTTCCAGAAACTGCAAGTCCATGATTCAGAGAATATGGTTTAAAAAGCAAGACACATTGAATTCAGGACTTTCTCCCAGGTAAGCATGCACAGGAGTGCAAGCTAAGTTTGCGATCTTACAAGCAGCAGGGAAACTGCTTCCGGATGAGTGGTTTTAAATGTATAAGATACGAAGAGCTTAAAAAGAAAGGAAATGCTCCAATCTCCCCATCCTCTCTGCTGTTTCCAAATAGAAAGAAAACAAGCAGTAAAACTAGGTGGAGAGAGCAGGGGTGAGTAAGTGAGGTGATTCTGAAACCGAATTTAGCGGGGCTCATTTCCATGTAAGTGTGGCTTGAATTTAAGCTTTAGCAAGGAGAGTAAAAGTCATATTGCAGCAGAAGATCCACCTTCTCTGGATATTTGAGGAGGCCTGCATTGGGTGGGTGGGGGGGCTTCTGAACATTGAGGAGGCCCGGTCCCTTAAAAAAAAAGGTGGGAGCCACAGTACCTCGGCCCCCAGGAGCTGGCACCATTGGATTGTAGCTATGATCCGGGACCACCAGGGGGCGCATTGGAAGATGGCCGACAATAACATCTCTCCGACCCACATGAGGTAATTAAGAGGCTGCTATGGGAGTATGTAGCCTCCCTTGCCCCCCCAAGGGGATGGGGGGGACTGCCTTGCCAGCTGTGTCCATAATTCACCCCCGGATTCGAAAGAAGTGGGTGTGGACACTTGGCACGAAGCCCTCGAGTGAGGTCAGCTCTCCCTGACGCTGTCTCTAATCAGCGCACTGGTTCGCATTAGCTCGAAATATATAATTGGAAATATATAATTGGAAAGAAGCTAATGCACATACATCAAGTGAAGATCAGGAGTAAAGACTGCTGATTAATGGGATCTCTGTGAGCGGAGCGATGGGTGGGACAATAAATCAAGTGAAGAATCATCATTAAAAGATTGGTATGTTGGAGTGAAATGGAAAGGGAGGGGAGGAAAAAACTTTTCTTTTTTTGCCTTATGTGAGTACCAATAACCCTCCCCTCCAGAGAGAAGAATCGTTGCTATTATTAATCACAAGCAGGAGACCAAGAACTGTGTGGGAATGAATTACTGATTAAAGAGAGGACTGGTGGAAACATCGGGGAATGGAAGGAAAGTTTTATGACGCAGTTATAAATGGAATTTCGTGAAGACAGGCTTGCCTAAGGAGGACGAGGGGGAGGAGGACCAGGGTCATTGGAATGTGAATGTATGGTTATCGGAACGTTATCTTGACCTGGCAGAGCCCTCTGAGATATAGATTGGCAAGCCTGTGAATCAACGGACAGACTGTGGGAATGTTTTCAACGGAGGTGTGGAAATGGCGTCTGTCCTTTATGTGATACGACTCTTGGAGAGTGTAAAACCCACACAGGAGATGTTTGTCTTTCACCCGCTTGTGAATATTATCAGAGATCACAAAGAAAGGAATATATGATAACAACAAGAAGATGAAGAAAATAACAAAAAGACTAGCTGGATAGAACTGGATAGAACTGTTTAATCAAAGCAGCAGCAAGAGTGATGTTTGGACCCCTTTCGGAGCTTGAAGTATGGGTACCCCCAACAAAAATTTTACAAATCTGGCTGTATAATTTGGAATTAATGTGATTTGGAATTAATGTGATTTGATTGGCCTGTTAATAAAAATTATATTTTTTTTTAAAAAAAGGATTGTAGCTATGATCCACCAACTGACCCCAACTTTCCAATGACTTTAATTGGCAAAGAAACTTATTGGGGAGATATGTCCACTAAAGTGGTCCTAGAGATGGGGACATGACATTTTGTACATTGTCAGGGAAATGCTAATTTCCTGATAATTTACAGCTGTCAAGAAAATGGACACCAATAAATAGGCAAGTGTTCTTACTTACTGACAAAATGTTCTGGAGCCAAACACCTGGAAGCCTTAGACTAAATAATTTTTGGGGGGGGAGGGGAGGTAGGAAGCTTTCAGAATGCACAAACATCTTTGTGCCTAAAGAAATGAAATGTGGTGTGAAATACTGCTTTTGCCTCTGGTTCAATAAAATACATATGCAATTTTTACAAAAATGAAAGATCAATTTGTGTGACTTATAGGAGTCTGTAAAGAGTCTCCCCCTACTTCTATCTTTTGTAATTTGGTTATCACTCACTCTTGTTTTTCCATCATGAAATTGCACATTTTGGATGTGAAAGAATGAATATGAGCAATGATAATAAAAATACAGTAAACAACAATGCAGTCAAGTGTTAAATTTTGGGAGCTGTTTTAGATTTAGTAATATAAATAAGACTACTCTGCATTCCAAATCATTATCTACAATGTTCTCTTTTTTGCAGTATATTGATATGATAATGAAGAAAGTGTAGGACCCTTTTTGCAAAGAGACATTTCTTGAGCTGCTTTTGAAGAAAAGGCTGTTGTGTCATTTTCATACTTTCAATGTGCATCACCCTCCTGACATTAAAATAGAGAAGACAGTGAAGATACATAATGGAGACTGAACTCCATGGAATAAAGTGCTGCATAATCATGTTATTAATATAAAATCATTTTTGAAGAAATGTTAATGTGACTCAACTATTAACGTAACCTGGAAACACAGCTTTTAAAGAAAGAATAAGAGGATCTTTTGGGGGCTATCTTTTTCCTTTTACTTTCAGTGGACAAACCTTGCCGCAAGCCCAGTGGGAATGAGTAGAAGTTGGTTGCAAGAGCACCGTAGTGCTTTAGCACACCTCCTGCTCATTTCAGTGGGGCTTGTACATGAGAACATTCCAGTGGGCTGCCTAAGCTAATCTCAATACACCTGCGCATTGCAAAGAGGTTGGAACATACCTCTTTCAAATTTTAGAAAACGTAACAGTGGAATCCAGGCATTTAGAGGAGAAATACATGAAGTTATTTACCATATTTTTCCATGTATGACTCTATTTTTTCCTAATTTTTTGAAGTTTAAAATAAGGGGGTCATCTTATACATGGATAGTGCACAGTGCATTTTCTTAATTTTGAGTCCCAAAAAATAGAGGGTGGGATGTCTTATACACGAGGGCGTGTTACACATGGAAAAATATGTTATTTGTTTTAAATATATATATATATCACTGTTTCATAAAGATATATTATAGCAGTTTACAACAATATAGAAACATAAAACCAAATGAAAAAAATCATAAAATCAAGTTAAGAGCAAAGAGAAATTGAAAACAAATATCAACAGACCATTGTGGGAGATGTACTTTTACTTGCCTGCATAGGCCTGGCAAAACAATAAAGTTTTCAGCGGTGTGGCAGGCTTACTACTACTACTTACTACTACTAGTAGTAGTACTACTGCTACCACTACTACTAAATTTTGTATACTGCCCTATACCTGCAGGTCTCAAGGAGTCTCACAGGATAAAAGCTTAAGCCTTTTCTTTTATAGAAATACATTTATGAAGAAAACTTCACCCATTCACATTCTGTGAATCTTATCACCTGTGTGTAGCCACCAACTTTTGGGGGCTCCTACACTCCACCTGAAAAAGTGGACAAACTCTTGTATAGCACAAAGCTTATGGAGATTTTATGCATATATGCCCTCTTTTTTGTTAGCAGGTAGAGAGCCCAATCCACATATAGCCCCAGACAACTCATTTGGCACCCCTGTGTAGATTAACAGTATCAACAAAGCAATGACCTGTTGGCCATTGCTTTTGTTGATGCTGTTAGTCTTATTGCATTCTAATTGCTTTGAATTGTTTTATAGGAACACAGGAAACTACCTGATAATGAGTCAGAGCATTGGCCCATCTAGCTTTGTAGTATCCATAGTGACTGACTGTAGCTTTCCAAGATTTCAGACTGGGATTTCTCCCAGACCTACCTGGAGCAGCGGGGGATTGAACTTGGAACCTTCAACATGAAGAGCAGATACTCTACCACTGAGCTACAGCCCTTCCACAACAGAGCTATGCAGTGTTTAACTCTGCAAGCCTCCTTGGTGCTCTGTGACACGAGGTGGGGTTCAGATGCAGAAAACAAGTCAATGAAATATGGTAGCAACTCCCTGTTGACCTTCTCCATATGTACTTGTGTTGTTGGAAGCAGCTATGAAGATTTAATTAATGATAGTGATATAATTAGGTTTGGTTTGAGCTTGGGATCGGACTTATTTCATGGCTTTGGGCAACTCATTTAAGCCCCTGTGTATCCAGTCCCCCTTCTGATGATAAATCAATAGCGACAATGCTGCTCACCTCTGAAGGTGAATTCTTTTCAAAAATAGAATGTGCAATACGCAGCAAATTAGTACAATGCTTGGTATTCCACTATCCAGTAATTAAGCAGCAGTCTGTATAACCCCCCCCTATCTGGCAGCTGAAAACTGTGTGTGAACTGTGTGTGTGTTGTATAAATTCCAACAGACAAGGTCTAAGAAAAGAAAAAAGGATCTTTTGGTATTTTACTGTCAGTTCCCTGAACTGTCTCCCAGCGCTGTAATTTCAGGTCTGCTTAAATAAGACATCAATCTTCAGTATGTGTTGAACAATTAAAAACTGACACACACACACTCTTTCTTATCTGTCATGCTGATGTTTCAGCTTGTACTCTTGTTAACTTGCCAGCAGAAAAATCCAAAGGATGAGCCACAGATGGCTTCTTACTAAGCATTCAGTACCATTAACTGTATTAAGATGCTCCTGTTAAATAAGTATCAGTCTATAATTGTTACACCCGCTGCTTTTACGGTTTCTCTCAACTGTTGGGCTATTCTCAAGCCTCTGGGGCTCTTTAAGAGCCATTAGCTCTCCTCCTTTTGGGGTTTTTTCCTCAAGTGTTGTTATCTTACGTTGAAGGAAGATGTGATTGTAATTAAGGCAGCACTGAGTGGCCCCAATTAACCCCAAGATAATCTGCTGTAAAGATACATTGAAGAGATTGACTATCTTGTCTCTTTAGATTTTAAGCTTTTTAACAGAGGACAAACAGTGGAAAAGGAAATGTTCTGAGGTGAAATGACTTTCCTGTTGTTCAACAAAATGAGAATGATAATAAGAAAGGCACACACAGCTTTGTCTTCTGTCCATATGGCCCTATTTAAAGCACACATAGGATGTTTCTACAAGGTACAGAGATCCTGGACCAATTTTGTGGCAGATGCCTCATCTTTAAGAATTGATGCATTGGTATATCCCACTATTGCATCCAAGTTTTCTCATCCAAGTCTGTTCTGCCATGTTTCTGTTTCCATTACTGTAATTTTTTTAATTTTAAAAAATGCATTAAATGTTGCATTTAAATACATCACTTACAGGGCTATATGAGGCCACAATTGTTACACCAGCCGAAGCTGGCAAAAGACACTCCTAGACACTGAGGCGATGTAGGCCTCTAGTGACTGAGATGGTTCCAGAAGAACTGTCATGACTAAGGTCTTTGAGAACAGAAACGGGAAAGTGCTGGAAAATTCTAGCAGATTCACCTCTGATGCAAATATTGTTTTGACTACGTAAAGGTCATGCTGACCCAGGAGAGATAAATTACTGCGCTCAGCGAGCTGCTCTCTCTCTCTTACTTTCGCTTGTACAGTGCTTGTAACGAAGTTTTATTGCCTCAGTAAAGTTTTTCCTTTACTGTGAATCTTTTGTCTCTGCATTTTGACTCTGCGTGGTTCTTTTACTTGACTGTCCATCAAGAACCTCCACAACTACTAACAGGCTTCTTTAGGAGGAATTCTACCCCATTCGAAGCAGACTGTTGGTCAGTTATCTGGGCAGCCCATGGTACCCCCATTACACTTCATGGAAACAATTGGAGACCATTTTGTTTCAAACGAGCTATTCCAGTTGGATGAAAGTCTGTATGTATGTTGATTGACATTGTTTTTAAACCTACTTCCAGCTGCCTTTATAGTAGGACTGTAAACCACAATGAGACTCATGTGCAAGGAAGGTGATTAATAACTGAATAAATAACCACTGCCTTTTCAAAAACAGGCAGTAGCTAACGCAGTGTCCTGCCTCACACATTCAAAATATACATGCAGACACTCTGGGAAATGACAGCTTGTGATGACAGGCCATATCTCCCAGGGCCATTGGAAGGGGAGGTGGGGAAGTGTCTGCTCCCTTGCAACCATTGGGGCAGCCATATTTTTCTCCATATGATGTCCTGAGGTCCTGCTGCTGATTCTTCTGAGTGGAGCTGTGCTTCAGTATTCTGCCCTGATGGCTCTTCTGCATCACATATTCATCTATTCCAATGGGCATTGCACCCAGGCATACTCAGATCAGTGAAATCATCGTCATAATTTGGATGCTGCCCATCTGATTGGGTTGCCCCAGCCACTCGGGGCAGCTTCTAGCATATACAGGACATAATAAAAGATCAAACATTAAAAAACTTCCCTAAACAGGGCTGCCTTCAGATGTCTTCTAAAGATTGTATAGTTTTTTATCTCCTTGACATCTGATGGGAGGGCATTCCACAGGGTGGGCGCCACTACCAAGAAGGCCCTCTGTCTGGTTCCCTGTAACTTCACTTCTTGCAGTGGGGGAACTAACAGAAGGCAGATACACTGAGATGCACCTCTAAAAGTAAACCTTTTCAAAAGTAATTGTAGCATGCTTACAAGCAGGAAACTTATGGTGAACTCTGAACATCCAGAACGTGGCAGCTAGACTGGTGACTGGGAGCGGCCGCCGAGACCACATAACTCCGGTCTTGAAAGACCTACATTGGCTCCCAGTACGTTTCCGAGCACAATTCAAAGTGTTGCTGTTGACCTTTAAAGCCCCAAACGGCCTTGGTCCAGTATATCTGAAGGAGCGTCTCCACCCCCAACGTTCTACCCGGACACTGAGGTCCAGCACCGAGGGCCTTCTGGCGGTTCCCTCACTGCGAGAAGCCAAGTTACAGGGAACCAGGCAGAGGGCCTTCTCGGTAGTGGCGCCCTCCCATCAGATGTCAAAGAGAACAACAACTACCAGACCTTTAGAAGACATCTGAAGGCAGCCCTGTTTAGGGAAGCTTTTAATGTTTGATGTATTACAGTATTTTAATATTTTTTTTTGGAAGCCACCCAGAGTGGCTGGGGAAGCCCAGCCAGATGGGCAGGGTATAGATAAATAATAATAATAATAATAATAATAATAATAATAATAATAATAATAATTGTTATTATCATCTCGGCGTCATTCCTTATACTTTCTTGTCTTGCAGCATTTTTATCCAACAGCAAGTGACACTCATAGTTATCCCCATTGTCTTGTGTCCATACCTGAACATCTGCCAGCTGTAGTGATGTACTGCTATGAAAAATGTAAAAGCCATGGAGGACTCAGGCATATTCATTCTGCAGACAAAGCACTCTGTCTATTTGCAAAATTGGCAGGGTGCCCTTAAAACGTATCACTTTTCCATTATGTGCAAAGTGTTTTAATCCTGATCCCTAATCACCCATAATAATGATATTTACTGTGCCACTGTATCTCAGGGTCCATTATTAAGCCATTCATTCCATTACAAAACGTCTCCTTTATACTAGAAGGGCCAGAGGCAATTATGCCCTAAGATTATCTAATATACAAGGTTCTCATTATGTATTTGAGCTCCTGGGTTACCAGCAAAACCAATTTTGGATTTCACTCCACAATCAATATTTTTATTTTGCTCTAATGGCTTTGCTGCCAAATAATTCGCTCCAATATGTGTAATGTTCCATGATGTAATCTTTCACAGTATGTCTTCCCTTCAGAACATAGCAACAAACTTGCACAGAAAAGTTCTTGATTAGCCAGAGTTTCAGTATTGAAGTATTTTAAGGGTGCATGATTAGCGGCAAAATTCTTAACTAGAGGCTTGATTCAGCTGTCCTTAACTTAGCAGAAAGCAACATGTTTCAGTAGAATTCCCTACATATATCAAAAACTGAGGGCAGAATTGCTTCAGTTCTTTGTAGATCACATTGCAAGGATGGTTCTAAAATGGATACATAATGGTCATATTCATTCTTTCAAAAAATGAGCACTAAATGGCTCACTCAGCAGACAAAAAGTACGCCTTTCTACGTTTCCCCCAGATGCAATCAGTCTTTAAAAGTTATTTTTCCAGAAAATCAAAGGCGTTTTTTCAGGCCATTATCTTTTTCTCTTTGCTTTTAGGGGAAAATATGATACTAAACTTGGTCTTTAAAGTATCACTTTTTAAAAAAATATAAAAAATCATCCATGGCAAAATATAGCAATGCCACAATTGCTGAGATTTGATGCAAAAACAAACCACAATTTTGAAGCAACCCTTCTCCCAGACTTCCTTGTGAATATGTTTTTTAAATGAAGAAGGAATTAGAAAAATAAAGCTGATAAACGAGATGTAAGCAGATATTGTGTTGTTGTTGTTTTTGTTTTTTACAAAAGGCTGCTGATGAATGTTCTTACTTGATGTAGTAGGCAGTGCATTATAAATTGATACTGTAAACAATGATACTGGAGCGTATGACAATAATAACCTTGAGGATTTTTTAAAAAATGCATTAAATCCACTATGATGGACATTTGATCATTGCTATAGATTTTCCTTTTACTACCAATTCTATGAGTCTGTAAGCTCCATTATACCTAGAGCTGATCTTATTACTTATACTCTCTGCATTGCAGTTTAGAACCCAGAAATTCTCAGGCGTCTGAGGGAGGCATCAATACAAATAGGGAGAGAAGTGTCTCCTGTCTAAATATTCAATGTGCCAGCTGTTGGTGGGGAGAAACAGAGGCAAATGAGTTTTGGATGAACTAATGTGGAATAAAGACTGCTCTGCTTTAATTTTCACAATGTCTTCTTCAGATTGGAAAGTCCAATGTTAAGCAGGTGTACGCAGCAATAAGTTCCACTGGTGTTGTTGAGGTTAAAAAGGGAAAGGGAAAGAACCCCTGACAATGAAGTCCAGTCACAAACGACT